TCTTTAATTATCTGATCCCATGATAGCAGATTAAGAAGATCGTGGATTGCTTATGTCCCTATGTGCCTTCCACAAGCAAATCCAAATCTCTTTTAGAGAATGAAAGAATTTTCCATAGGCCTCAAACCATTTCAAAAATTTTCTAAATAAATAACTTGCAAAAAAAATTATCAGGTCCCGAAACAAGGAGAAAAAATAAAATGAGCAGAAAGAACATACAATGGAAGAAAACTCAGATGGGCTGAATAACATTATTGGACATTAGTTAAGACAACTGTGCTTAATATTAAAAAAGATTTAAAAAAGAATGCAAATTTTGGCAAAGAACAGGAAACTGTAAGATTAAACAGTGCGAGTTGATTGTAAAAGTCATTCTAGCATGGAAAAATATGTAAACAAAATACTCAGAGGATTGGTTTAATAGAAGATTAAACACAGCTGAATAGAGAATTAGTGAACTGATAGACAGGTCTGAAGAGAATATCCATAATTAAGTTTGGAAGGACAAAATCACAGAGAAAAAACAGAGAAAAGGAAAGAGTGAGAAAGTCTAACATAGACACACTTAGATCCTTCAGAGAAAAAAATAGACAGGGAATCAGGCGGAAGAAAACCTTGAGAGATAAAGGTTTAAATTTCTCAAATCTCTTAAGACGTCAAGTCACATATTTTTAAAATTATAGAGACTCCATATAGGTTAAGAAAAACAAAAAACCAAATTTTACTTCAGTTCATAACTGCTAAAAGCCAAAGAGAAAAAAAATATCAATGACCTTCAAAGGAGAAATAGTCAGTAGATGACATCTCAACAGAAACATGGAAGCCAAAAGACAATGAAATATTTTCAAAGGATTGAAAGAAAGTAACCATTAACCTAGAATTCTATACTCAGTGAAAATATCTTTAAAGAATCAAAGTGAAAATTTCTTAGCTCTTGTAGGATAATGGTGGCCACCTGTATTAGTAATATTTCTTCAGAGAAACATAATAGGAGATATACAGATCTAGACACAGATATTTCTAAGAGGACAATTAATATAGGAATTGGCTTATGTGGTTATGGAGGCTGAGAAGTCCCACAGTCTGCCACCCGGAGGTTGGAGAATCAGGAAAGCTGGCAGTGTAATTCAGTCCAACTCAGAAGGCCTGAGAATGAGGGGGGCTGATGGTGTAAGTCCTGGTTTGAGTCCGAACCTCAGAGAACCGGGAGCACCAGTGAATGAGGGCAAAAGATGGATGTCAGCTCTAGCAGAGAGAGTGAATTTACCCTTCCTCCACCTTTTTGTTCTATTCAGACCCTCAATGGGATTGGATGGTGCCCACCCACATTGGTGAGGGCAGATCTCTTTACCCAGTCTACTGATTCAAATGTTAACCTCTTCTGGAAACACCCTCACAGAACACCCAGAAATAATGTTTTACCAGCTATCTGGGCACTTTTTAGCCAAGTCAAGTTGACATAAAAAATTAACCCTCACACCACCTAAATCCAAATCACACTGCTGTTCATCCAAAATCCATACAGATCAACAAAAATAGCAAAGAAAATAAAATCAGATAAAATAAAAAGTGATTTCCATGCCCACTGAAAGCTAGAAAAGCAAACAAAAAATGTTATAAATTTCAATTTCCATACAAGAAGGGAAACAAACATCTGAAACGAGCAGAGCCACCTCCAGAGACCACACCAAAACAGAGCCAGGAGTATTACATGAATAGAAGAGACTGTAGCAGGATCCTACAGGTGGAAGATACAGATTACATCAGCCAGGGTCAGCCCATAAAGAGACTGGTGAAAACACTGAGAATACACAGGAGATGCCCAGCAAGCCTGCAGCACCACTGACGGTTGTCTCGGGAGTGCACTGCTTCTGGGAGAGAGAGGCTCTTTGGAAGGGAGGACGATCTTTGGAATTTTGGTAGTGAAAGAAAAGAAAGCAACAGGAGGCCAAATTCAAATTCCTATAAAACAAGATAGTATCAAACAATCAGAAACAGACTGACTCACTCCCAGACACATAGTCCCCACAAGGCACCATTTATTAAATTAAACTGAACTTTACCATATCAAGAGAAAAGCACGCTCTTGAAATAAGAAGGAAAGTAGGACACTCTCATTTTCAATTTTCTCATTGTCATATCTTTGCAGGGGCATTGGGTCTCATTTTTATTAATGATAATATGCTTAGACCTAAAATAATGTGATTCCATAGTGAAAGTGGTGGGGTAGTTGGGGTGGCTTTAAGAAATTAAAGAAGATCTAAATAAAAAGAATAATACATCTTGTTTATGGATTGAAAGGCTCAACATTTTGAAAATATTGATTCTCATAAAATTAATTCCAGAAATTCAGTATAACCCCCATCATGATTCTAACAGGGCGTGTGTGTGTGTGTGTGTGTGTGTGTGTGTGTGTGTGTGTGTTTGGGAAATTTCTTCCTGAAAGTTATATGGAAATGCCATGGTCCAAGATAATCTTGCAGAGCAAGGTGAAAGGAGTTTTATTAAGAGCTACTCTATATCTGTGGCAGTTAATAGAGGACAGCATGTGTGCAGGGATAGAAAAACAGAACAAGAGAATGCAATGGTGGGTCTAGAAGCAGATTCAGCCCTATTTGGGCACTAAATGATTTGTGACCAAGTTTGCCATAGAGAGCAATGGGGAATGACAGCATTTCCAATAAATTGTGCTTGGGCAATTGGATATCCATATAGAGAAAAACAATTCTGTCTGTTATCTCACAGCATACATAGAATATTGTAAAAATAGTTGAAGGAAAATGATAAAGCTTCTAGAAGATACCATGGGAGAATACTGCGTGATCTTGAGATAGGGAAAGAATTTTTAAACAAGGCATAAAAAATTTAACAATGAAGGAAATTATTGCTACATTTGAGCGCATTTACACTGAAACTTCTCTTTTTTAAAAATGACCATAAATAAAGTGTAAAGGCAAACCAGAGCAGGAGAAGATCTATCTATATTACCTAACACTAGTAAAGGTCATGCATCCAGAATGGAAAGAATGTCCACAAATCTATAAAGAAAAGACAGAAAACCCAATAGAAAATAAGCCAGAGAGTTGGAACAGGCATTGTACAAAAGAAGATTTCCATACGGACAACGGACATATGAGGAGGTACTTCACTCTATAAGTAGATAGACAAATAAAAATTATGTCTAAATTGAGAGTTCTCCATACCCAATAACATAGCTAAATTGACAATACCATATATTGGTGAAAATATCAAGCAACTGGAACCATTATACATGCTGATGGATGAATCCCACAAGTATAATATCCAATGAAAGAAGCCAGGCAAAAAAGAACATATTGTGTACATTTCCACTTATACAAGGTTTTAAAACAGGTAAAACTAAACTATTGCATTAGAATCAAGAATAGAATTTACTTAGAGACAGAGGTAGTGACTGGAAGGAGAAAAGGGGGGACTTTGGGTACTGGTAATGTTCTGTTTCATGACCTAATTAGTAGTTACACAGGTTTTCATTTTGTGAAGATTCATTTAACTATATATTTGGTTTTATACAATTTTTTTGTATGTGTTATATTTTATAATAAAATATTTTTTGTTGTTTTTAAAAGTTCAATTATGTAGGATTATCAGAAACAAATCAAACATTTAGGAGACTAGTTCTGTTACAGCCAAAGACTATAATATGGTATGTCCTCCTGCGTCCTGTGTGTATGTTTTTGTCCTGAATAAACAGAGAATATTGCCGCCTTACCCTCAAATCTTAGTGATAGCGTAGGCCAGAGGGAAGATGGTTGCAAGCAGGACCTTGAATCCTTTTGGAGTCCTGGTGGCGAGAACTGATCTAATACTTTTTCTGCAGAGCAGGGTGAGTTCATGGAGAACAGCCTCCTTGTTGATTAGACACATTAGACTATAGGGACCCATAGACCATAAAAATCTATACAGCCCAGGGATGTGAGGCTATTATTTCTGGTCTTCAAGAGAAAGAGAGAGATGTGAGGGGAATGAATAGGAACCTTGTCTCCTGCCCCTGAGTCCATAAGAGCAATGAAAGATTTGGGATTAAAAATGCTTCAAGTGACACAACTCAAGGAGGCAGATATGCCCATAATTCAGTCTAGATAGTAACACATAGAGAAGTTAAGAAATCTGCCTAAGATCACACATCTCGTACATAGTAGAATCTGTGGGTTTCACTCAGGGCCTGCATTCTTCACCACATCCCTCAATGTCTCTCTTGCAATCAGATACATTATATAACTTATTTATTGCACAGGGCCCTGTGTAAGGAGCTGAGAATTTTACATATGATAAAAGTTAAACGTGTATCAGTGGCCTAGACTTGTATGAACTTATTGATGAATTTACAACCCCAAATGAGCTAGCATGTGTCAAAAATGATAATACCAACAAAAAGTATTTTTAAATCATTTACATAGAAATAACATAGGTGTAATCTTTGATCTTTTTAGTAATAAAAATATTATGTAAGATTTTTTGAATGTTTACTATTGTTTTGAGCTCTTTACAAGAATCAACTTTTCTAAACTTTGTAACAGTTCTATGAGTCAAGTACTATTATTTTCCCTATTTTATAGGTAAGGGAACAGAAGCGCATAGATCATAAGTAACTTGCAAATGTCATGCTACTGTAAGAGTTAGGAGCACTTTCAGTGCATGCTATATGATCCCAAATTTAACTCTTATACTCTTTTCAACTTATTTTTTGGCCTAGAAGAATCATCTTCAGACTTTAAAAGATACCACTTTCACAATGGTAAAAGAAAAACAAAAGGAAGTGAAATTCAAAATGGATAAGGATATTGTAAATTACTACCCAGCTCATTTAAAGGAAGATAAGTTTCCAGGTCAAAAACATTGTCAACTAAAAACCAAGCAAACAAACAAACAACAATGTCATGTGTTGCTTAATGACGGGGATATGTTCTTAGAAATGCATTGTTAGGCAATTCTGTCGTCGTGTGAACATCACAGAATGTACTTACACACACCTAGATGGTATAGCCCACTACACATCTAGCCTATATGATACTAATTTTGTAGGACCACCATTATATAGGTGGTCCACTGTCATATATGTTTCAGTCATTGATGGAAACATCATTATGCAGCACACAACTATAAATGTGTATATCTGAAGTAACTAATGGAGAATGAAAGAAACTCCAGAAGACATAAGAGTAGTGTTCTTTTTTTTTTTTTCCCATCATAGGCAAGACAGTTGCTGAAACGGAAATCAAGGTTGATTCGGACCAAATTCTAGAAGAGATTGTTAAACAGATGACTTTCTAGTAATTAAAAATGGAACTGGTGAGCTGTAATACACTAAGTCCCCCATTCTGTCATTATGGTAATCTCCGTGAAGCTCAGTGAAATCCTATAGGAAGAGCCCTCTGCATCAGGACTTCGGCAAGGCAAAGCCCCCAACTGTTTCCTTCAGGAGAGACGAGAGCGTGGGCTTGACAACAGAGCATTAGGTGGATTTATATGATTGATAGACTGTGCTCAGAGTTTAATTAAGAATCATTAACAATTGATAATTCTCAATTAAAGCTGTATGCTCCCTTCTCTGTTTTATCTCAGCACATAACAGGCATTCAACAAATATTTGCCAGATTTTGAATGAATCTAGGCAAATCTATGATGGCCTGGCACAAGCTCCTGTGATGCCCTGAGAGACAGATTTATTTGTAGTTTAGAGGATGCATGAGTAATATGTCAGACACATTGATGAACAAATGAAGCAGGGAGGGGTAAATGAAGTAGGGAGGAGTAAATGAATATGTTAGATGTTATAGTAAATATTTGCCTCTTCAGGGGCTAGTTCATTTGATAACTTTCAATAGGTATAAATGCATATTCACTTTCAGCTTGCAGTTTAGAAGATATTGGTCTTTCTTACTAGTGCCTTTTATTCCTCTGAACCCACCACTAATTCATGGGCAACCTCTTGGCAATAGATCCAAAGTGACATATACTGTTGAGAGATTCAAAGAAACAGTCTCAACTTTTAGGCATTTCCCTGGTTTCTGTATAAACACCTTACTGACTATAAAATTGCTTCTGGGATTTATGTCATTGCATTTCTTTGTCCCCTTTTATTAAACTGGCTTACTCTCTCTGCACATTCCTGACTGCTCTTGGACTTTGTACTGTATTAACTATCACTTGATATATTATTATCACAGACATTCTGGTCATTTTCTTATTTCCTAGATGAGAACTAAGGTGACTTGATTGTTGAGGTTCAGCACTACAACTGAGGCTTTCAAGTGAGGTGGGGACTTATTACTAAATATATGAGATATTGAAATCAAGTAAATAAGAAAAGAACCAGGCTTTCACCAATAAATAAGAGTATTTCATTTTCATAAAAGGAATATTCAACATGGATATTGGGATAAACCCTGAAGTAGCACTAGCATACACACACACACACATGCTCACACTCACACTCTCACACATACACAGACAAATTCAGTCCGGTACTTACCAAAATGATACGAAAAGTGATGCCAAAACTTGGGTTTCTATTGATACTTTGATAAGTTTGAATGAATTATCATTCTATTCTCAATTGTTTCATTTGAGCACTCGAAAATTCTTGACTATTATACGTTCCCATTGAAATCAGCATTGCCAAATCAGTAGAGAGGAAATCAAGAGGGCCATAAAGTAGGCTTGATTTTGTGCAGCAAAAAAAGTATGTTAATTTTGAATTATTGTGACACATTTAAGACATAGAATGGCAGTAAGATGGTTTGAAGTAAAACTAAAAGAAGGATTTGCAGCAGGAAAAGGCTGAGTTAAGTAGGTTAAGAGAATTTAGAACACAAGAATGAAATCACCCAGCAGAGCTGTGTCCTTCAGCAGAAATTGTTCGCTTCAAATGAATGTTTTCTCAAATTGCAAAGAGCAAAAACACATGTCAATATGTGTTTGTCTCAGACAGAGTGCAATCAATGCAAGTTATTTTATGGAAAATTTTTAAATTTACTAAGATGGAAGGACTATGACAGGAAAGAGGCTCAAACAATATATTTCCAGTGTTTAAACTTTCACCAGAAACACTATGTTACTTCTGATCCTAACACGGTCCCCAAGTCACTTCCGAAGCTAAGGCTACATCATGACACATGCTATAAAACTGGACAAATATCAGTTAACTCTGCTCCTTTGTGTCCCAACTGTTTCATTACTCCCGCAAGCAGAAGCAACTTTGCCTTTTTAGATGGCTATGAATGTGACATCTCCCTAAAACTACAGTAAGGAGTCCTCTGTTTCACAAATATAATTTTAGTCACAATTAATGACATTGAGCAAGCAGTGACATGCTTGTTGAGGTTTATATATGAGAAATTGCTTTGAAATTTATTAAAAAGCAAATAGGTTTAGTAAATTGTTTAAAGGTCCAATTTCTTAAACTGTTTTTCTTTTGTTTCACATAACCATCTAATTATCTTAAAATACTTTTAAAGAAGGGTAGTGATGGTTTTCACTGGCCACGAGTAGAATGATAAAGATAGCCCTTATAGGATCCTAGCCTAGTGTATAACATAAAATTATATATGTGTGCATTATAAACACAACTGCTCATGTGAATGTAAATCAAAATTTAAATTTCTTTTCATCAGAAAGTAAAAACATAATTCCTAACCACACGTCAATGTGGATGGCAGTTTAGTATGATTTTGCAGTAAATCTAAGACATGGAGAAATTAACTCTCTTGTGTTAGTGTTCACATAGCATGGAAGACAGAAAATAGAATTCATGATCCACTTCTAACCAAAAAAGAACATTATATCAAGTTCAGTAATATTTTCCTTACAGTATTATGTTTTTCTATTTAAAAAATGTTCACAGTATAATTCTTCTGGGAATTCAAATCAAAATTTATAAACATACACACACACACCAGTTGCTCAAGCTTAGGAAAAAATAGAGAGAGAGAGAGAGGGAGAATTTCTTCTTTTATCTTTTATTTCTAGCTTTGTACTTAGAATGCAGAAAAATAACATTTTATGAAAATATCCAAGATAGGACCCACTCATTCAAACGAGCCTATGTAAAGAATATTACTAATTATTAAGTATAACTACCATTAAGAGGGAAAATAAGATATATTTTAAATTTTATTCATTTATCATTACTGAGACTTATGAAACGTACAGAGATGAATAAAACACGTTGTGTCTCTGACAACAGGGAAATTGAAATCTTTCGAGGACGAAAAATGGAACCACCAAACTGTAGAAATTTTCTTGTTTAGCCCTTTTACCTTAGAGACGAGGAAACTGCAAAATTGCAGTTACTAGGCAGCCTGTGAAAGGGGGTAAATGAGATTTATAAACACAAGAGTCAACTAGCCAGCGAAAGCCACTGTTTATGACGGTCACAAATGTGTGCTCATTAGGTTGCTTTGTTGTTGACTAATGTGTGGGACGGGTTCCACTGCTTTTACTGTGAATGCTAAACATAACTTAGGTGTCGTGAAATTTTCATTCACAAAACCACACTCTCGCCCACCATTTCTAATGACCATAGCAATAATGAAAGAGAACATTGATATTCTGGTGGACACAACTCTTATTAAGTAAGCTACACTGCGAAAGATCTTATTAATTCATGAGTACAACCCGATAATTGGGAAATTTGAAATTTAAATCATGTATTCATTTGCAGTAGACTTATATATTTCTCTTTTTATTTTGCTGAAACATTTTCCTTTGATGGAAACAGAGGAGTTGCTGATCGATCAAGGGAAATGCTTCACTGGGACAGCTCTGTGAATGTGGGGAGTGCTGTACATTCCCCTTCCTCTCTGCGTGGCATATGGCGCAATGCGTAGTGAATAATGGCTACTAGATAATGATCGTTTTCTGAAGCTCAGTATAAAATAAAAGGAAAAAAATATCAAAAAAGTGTTAAACATTTTAAAAGTTAATGATAAGAAAATACCACTAGATAATATAAATCTTAAGGCGAAAAAAGGAAAATCCATCTCCTGCTTTATATGCCTTTGTCATGCTCTTGCCATTAATTAAAGGCTTACTATGTGCCAGGCACTGCACTGCATCCTTTACATGCGTTACCATTCCTAATTTTCACAGCCACCCATTTCACCAAAGAGAAAACTGAGGTTTAGAGAATAAAATTAAATTGCCTATTTGTCATACGGCCTGGAAATCTTGCGATTGAGATTCAAATCCACAGCTCCGACACTTTCAGGACACAGACTACCTCTCCTGGCATTTTGCTCACTTTACTTAAGTTTAAGAATTGTGAACTGTTTTGTAATCAAATAGAGTTTAACTTGTAGTCCTAGTAGTAGAATGGTTGTTGTGTACATAGCTATAAAGAAATAGGTTTAGTTCCTTAAATCTGAATCACCAAAATCACAACATTAAAATATCATTATTTATGTAATCACACCGTGGATGGAAAGTCTCATGTTATCCCCACATCCCTTGAGAAAAGAGATGCTGTTTACATCTGAGGTCGCTTTTAATTACTACAGTTATGTTTATGAATTGCACAGGTTATAGCTTTATGTATTATGCAAAGAAAGGAAAGAAAGAGGAGACATTTTTTTCTCTCTGCTTACCTTTGTATTTTCTTTGGCGTCCATTGTCAATCCAATTCAATACATATGCTATTAAATTATATTAGTAATAATTGTATATTTAACAATTTTAATACTAATTTTATATGAATAAAATATACCATGTATAATTATATAGTGTTTATAGTAATGAATGTAAATTGGAGATGATATAATTTTTGATATTCTTGTAGAGTGATAATTTCATGCCATTATATATTAATGGTACTTGCTAATAACATTTGCTTGTGGAACCAATGTACTATACTTTAAAGCCTCAAGAGAATAGATGACATGCCTTTTATATTTAACATACTAGTCCCAGTACCTAGCACATAATAGCAAAGACATTCAATTTGTAAACAATCCTTGAATGCAAGAATTTACAC